AGCTCTGAATTTATTGCACAATATAACAATGTAAAATGAATTATTTACTGCCATAATTCATAAAAATATGAATGCAATAAGATGCAAATAAGATTTAAAAATATAAATATGTGAATATATTTATATATTCATATATAATTTTCAAGTGACATATCGTTATAGAGGGTTAATATCTTTATTTCATGATAATTAATATTTCATTATAGTTATTTCATTTAATAAGTAAGTTAATTCATAATAATCCAGTGTAATAATTTGTGTTATAAAAGCGATTACTATGAAACTTCAAAACTATAAATTGTATAATAGTTCATTATGTATTTTCTTATATTGTTTATATTTTTTAAATAGTTATTAAATTGAAATAAAATTATTTATATTTATATATATATTATATATTATGTATTATATAATATATATATATATATATTATAGTATTTTGAGATGTAGCTAAATGCACAATGTAACAAAATGGATTGTTTATTGCAATAATATATAAGTATTTTTTACATGAATTTATGTATACATATACATTGACAAAGAAATATATATTTTTTTTTCTAATAAAATTTTTGTATAATTATATGATATATAATTATAGTATCTTTAGAATATTTATATTTTCATTATATTTATTATAGAATTTATTTGTATTTTTACAAATAAGATAAAATAGTTAAAATTATAATTAAATTATTATATCGAATTGCGTAGTTACATTTTTATGTTTCATATTCTCATTCGATATTTTATTACTTTATAGACTGAATACATTATATATTACCTGAATGATCATAATAAGAAACTATAATCTGTATAGAAATATATAATATACTCAATATGTTCTTGACACTGCGTAGAGGACGAAAACAGTCTATAAAGAGAGAGTGCCATGTTTATTTATAACTAGTAATTTGATTGGCCGTGTAATACACTATGATACATACATATACAATCAATATAAGAAAAGTGTAGTTTTCATAAATTTAGTTCTCTAATTTCTTATAGAATTGACAGAAGTCAGCGAAATAAAGAGCAATAAACTGTTTGTTTTATTATTGTAAAATTAAATATCTTAAAATAATATATTGATGCTCATGTATTAATAAAATATACTTGATTAAAGAGAGATTAAAAATTATAAAAATATTTAAAACCTTTAAACATTATGTTTCATTTAAATAATCTTGTTCATAATAGTGTTTTTTTAATAAATGAACAATATATATATTAGTCATAACTAATATACGATCTATATTATACGTAAACATTGACGAATCATAGATGCCTTCTATATCATGTATAAAATATTTTTTTGTATATATATATATAAATAATAAAAAATCGGATACAAAATACAAATATTAATCAAAATATATTATAAAATATATTTATACATATTTTTTATGTAACTTTTAATTTTATTTAATTATTCATAATTTAATTCATTAATTATTAATTTAAATATTGAATTAACTAAAATATATATACATCATTTAAATCTATAACATGCAAATATATACAATGTAGAATATTGTAATATTCTTAAAATATTTTCAATTTAAAATTTTAATATAATATTAAATTATATTACTATTTATACTACCATTAAATAAAATTAATAATCAAAAAATAATCTTATATTAAAATATTTGACTATTAAATTATTCATTGTTAATTAAAAAATACATTAAACTTACATGAATTCTTTGTACATAACGTGATGATCGATGAAACAGGTAGTTTTAAAATTATGAAATCTTCTTTTTATCACATAGGGGCTGTATCAACATGAAAAACATACGGCATCTTACATAGCATCTTATAACGCGTATTTTTTAATTATTGCAATTCAATTATACAAATGTTAAAAGATGCACGCAAGATGCAATCAAGCAAGCAGATAGGTACTACATGCTTAATGTTTAGTGCTACAAAGAAGATAAATTCGACGAGACCGACGCAGCGCAGCTACAGAGCAATCAATGAATGCATATTGATCTCAACCCTTCACGAATTCTATACCTGCAGGGGCGGATCACATGAGCACCAAATATCATGATTTGATTAAGAATATCATATTAAAATGCATACATTACAAATAAAGATAATTTTTTCTATTTTAAAATTATTATTAAGTAATAGCATAATTATTTTTTATTATGTTTTAAAAATTTGTTTAAGTAATTAATTTATAGCAGAAATTATATTATTAAAAATATTTAACAATATTATCTTAAAAAATAATACTATCTTAAAAAAATGTTTATATATAATGTTTAATCAATAATATAATAATAACAATAATAATAATAATAATAACAATATTAAAAATAAATCTATAAATGAAATAATATAATAAAATATAAAAAACAAAATTTTTAATTTATTTTTTTATAATAATATAAAATTTACAATATCATTTATATACATAATATATATAAATATATATTTATATTAAAAGAAATATTTTAATATCATATATTATAATTAAATATTTTAATTTTGTTAATTTTAAAAAATATACAATTAAAATATTAAGTAGTAATAATTAGTAATTAAATGTTAAAAAGTATGAAATATACTTCAAATTATTTCTTTTTATCGATATTTGAATTTCGATATTAATTTCGATACCTCGCATATGCAATTGTTTAATATGATCAAATACTAGAGTAAAGAGTATTGCTTCATTTTTATGTCAAATTGTCAGTTGCTCGTAAAATTACGACGGATTTTCTTAGGTAATGTTACATAAAATAAAGTAAGCATAAGAAATTTCATAGTCTAACACGAGCGCCGGAAGCTTCAAAATGATTGCGGTAACGGGTGCAAACTACTAAATTCTTTCATCATTAATAAAAAAAAACGAAAGTCTTGAAATATTTTTTCATAAAATTAATATTTGGATTGATCATAATAAAATATTTAAGTATTAACTATAAAAGTGCTCGATCATTGTATAAACGAAAAATCTATCATTCTAATCAGCTATATAAAGGAAATGAATTTAGGCGCGTTAAATTAAAGTTGTCTAAAAGACCGTAAGATGTCAAGTCGATCGGTACCGCGAGCGAACAAAAGAACAGGATTGGTCGCTTCGAAAGTAGTGCCAGACATGTGTTTCGTTTCCCGCCTCGTGGGTTGTTATTGTGTGGGGGCTCCGCCAGTCCGGTGAGTCGAGTGTAGAGAGCATAGGGCCTAGGCCAGAATCGAACCGCCGTTGGGTTGGCTCCTCGGTACGGTGGTGGCTCTGTCCGA